GCTGATGTACTATTGCAATGATTGCAATAAATTGGTTTGTCACATTTGTCTTAACGTTAAACATAAAAGTCACAATTACAATGATTACCTTGATGAAGGTGATGCAGCACGTAAAGCATTAAAGGAAAGTGTTGCTAGTTGTGATAGAGTCATTCCTCCAGTCACTGAAGCTATTGCTAATGGAGAGAAGATGCTAGAGCAGATAGCAACATGTAAAGAAGAAGTAAGGCAGGAAATCAAGGAAACAATTGAAGAGCTTAAAGCTGTTTTAGATAAGAGATGCAATGATCTACTAATGGAGACAGAAGAGATTGCTAGTGCTAAGAGAAATTCTGTCGAGAAGCAGTTGGATGGGTTTCGTAAACTGGTAAAACAGGTTTCTCATGGTCGTCATCTTGCATCATCAGTGAGTGAGCGTACTGATCCAGGTGAAGTTCTCAGTGTTAAGAAGCTAATCACCAATCAACTAGAGGAATGCATTGAAGAGTATAAGAAACTACCTCTAGAAATAGAAGAAAATGAAGCGATTGTAACATGTCTAGATACGTGTTTTTTAAGTAAAGAAATCAATGAGTTTGGAAGTGTCTCTGAGGTAGATATAGATGCATACTCCATTGATAGTGGGTTAGCTATTCCATTGGGAACTGTAAAGAAAGAAAGGAAATTCAAAGTGGCTCTACCAGCAGGCATTGATAAAGCAGCAAGCTATTTGAAGGGTTCCTTTATCAAAAGTAATGGTAATAAAGAGGAGGGTAGAGTTGCTAAAATTAATAACAACACAGCCATTGTATCATGCACACCTCAAAGTATTGGTGGATATGAGCTATCAGTGACTATAAGAGGTCACCATATTAAAGGTAGTCCTTATCAACTTTCAGTAAAAGCATCAAGAGACTATACCACACTAACTAACCAGAGACCCTTTAATGTGGGGAATAATACTCGTGGTGTTGCTGTTCATACTAATGGTGAAGTATTTGCTAGTAATTGTGGGAATGGATTTGTTCAGGTATTTGGTGAGGATGGTACTGCAGTAAGAAGGATTGGGTCTAAAGGTAATGGTAATGGACAGTTTGATTGTCCTTGGGGTTTATTGCTGGTAGGAGACAGGCTCTATGTGTCTGATGATAATCTTCATTGTGTGCAGTATTTCTCAGCTACTACTGGTCAGTATATTGGTCAGTTTGGTAGTGAAGGTAATGGAAATGGACAATTCTCTCGTCCTTTTGGTATGTCTACTGATGGTAAAGGTAATATATTAGTAGCTGAATATGGAAACAGAAGAGTACAAGTGTTTAAAGAAGATGGTACGTTTGTACAAGCCATACATTGTGATGGTAGTGCAACTGATGTAGCAGTTGATAATGAAGGAAAAATACACGTTACCATTCAAAGTCAACATCATGTTCAAGTCTTCTCTCCTGATGGTAAAACTCATTGTGATACATACAATCATCCATCTGGTAACTTTAATATTCCTTCAAGTATTGCTATTGATGATGAAGGATATATCTTTGTACTAAGTAGCAATGGCTATCTTCATGTATTGAGTCCTGACAAGAAACAAGTCAAATTAATCTCAGGATTATCTTTTCCATGGGGTGTAACACTGGATAAGAATGGATATATTTATGTTGCAGATTATAGCAACAAACATGTAGCAAAATATTAAGTAGTCGTTCAATAAAATTGCAATAAAGTACAAGTAGCTATGATATTTTGTCACTCTAACTCTTTCCCTTCCACCTCTCTTTCATACACACACAATTTCCCCGTTTCTGCCTCCTCTCTACTTTAAGTGGCTATTAATTATTATTATTATTAATTTGATTCAAAATTTTGAAAATAAGTAAAAGTAGAAAATTTCAAAATATCATCATCATTATTATACTAGTACATACACATGTTCCTAATGTACACTATAATACATTATACATTATGTTTTATACATTATAGTTAGATCACTAGGTGAATCAGTACCTGATAATAAACTGGGTCTACTCTCTCTTCCATTTCTATTTGAATTTAAACTAGTTGTTTCTACATAATCACATAAATATGTAGTCTCGTCATTGTTGTTTTTTGGACTTTTGATGTAAAACCTTGGAGTTTCCAGCTGAAAACCTTCAGCCTCACCCCCCTATTAAGTATGCAGAAAGTATGTTTAGCTGATTATCTCTGTAGTTGTTCATTCAAATTTAGTACTTTTATTTTTCAAAAAAAGTAAATTTGCATACCTACCTGCTGATACCAGACAACAATTGGAATTGCACTGCTAACAGACTTTAAAAAAATATTACCATTATCCAACTACAATGAGCCAATAGGTAAATTTCTCATCCCTGGATCAAGTGAAGAACAACTTTGCCTAGACAGCTTTTGGCTTTTCTAGCATTGTGGCATCAGTTCATGGACTGCTATCGCATTATAGTATTAAAGAATAATTATTTTAGGTAACAAAAACAATTACAACATTATAAAAAGAACACAAAAATGCAAGTTTATGTACAGTGTCCTAATTTTGAAAGACAGCAAGCCTATAAACATGAAAAGAAATGTAAATAGGGAAAATGTATAATTGACCTCACTTGAATGCAAGACTCATTGATGACCTCAGTATCTCCTAAGCTTGATGCATCAAGAAAATGGTGACACTAAAGAGATAGAGAAACAAAAAGAGGAAAGAGAGAAAGGTGTACAGCACTGAATTGTTATTACAAAGGTAATAGTAATGGCAATGGTAACTGTATTGCCATCTGTGCTCAGAAGGCAATGTCATTGTTAATGGGTTTATCTGAGACATAATGAAGAATACATGTATAGTCAGTGACATAGGCCTGTGACAATAC